CCCTTTTGATTCCTTAAACCCTTCCAGTTTTTATGGCATTAAAAGTGGAATCACAACTTTAATTACTAGCTCCTTCTAACCACCCCTGGGCAAGTGATTGAATATACTATAAAGTTTAAAAGGATGAGTTAATCACTGAAATTTCCATTCTGCCTACATAGAAACATTTTCAGATAGGTAGACTAGGCTCAAAAATCCAGTAACACCCATGCTAATGTGAATATATGCAATTCTGAATAATTCACACCAGCACACATCCTAGGCAGATCCCATATTGTTGAAATACGACAAGGAAGAAAGCAGATGAAATTCTAAATAGCAGTTGATACCAGATGGCGTTTATTTAAGTAACACTTCTTATTTTTAGACAACACTGAAACTATATCGTTGTCTCCTTAACCGATTAGCTCCAATTAAATCACTTGCCAAAAACCTAAGCAAAAAGACTACTGTGGCTACATATGAATCTCTACTACAGAGGGGCACAGCTCACTTGCTATTTTTGAATCTGTGTGTTTTGTGTAAAGTCAATTAGTTCTTGGAAGCTGCCTTCAGAGAAGAAGCTTCTTTTCCCCTCTACTCTTTTCTACTAGAAAAGAGTCACAGTACTCAGGGACTTGGAGTGGCTCAGACTAATGGTTTCCATGAAAGATCAAGAGAATCTGTTCTCCCTTGATCCTGTAGCTCAGAAACAAGTAGTTGCTCTACTTTGGAAGATTTGCGCCACCTAGCATCCCCTCTTGACAGCCATGGAACATTCCATTATTTACCTTTCAAGGGATTCTTTAGGTTGAGAGTTCCTCACCCAGATAAAGTTTCAAAAGAGACTGTGAACTGACATCTTGGTTGACCTCTGCTCAAGACAAGCTGGACTTCTCACACTCTAAATATTTAAATTTCACTTCAGCTGCCTGAGATGCCAATTTCAGCAGGAGTGACAGGATGTCCTATGACATCTGTCATTAGCATTGAATTTGAACATATCTTCCAATACAGATTATGGAGGCTTTATGTCTGAGCACTGGTGAGAGAAGAAAGGAAGTTGAGAGGAAACTGGACATTTTTTTACCCTGAACTGTTACCGAGTTTAATGAAATCACATAACCTATGTGCTATGCTACTTCTTTTCTAGGCTTCTTTGATCAGATTATATACTTGCTAGGTTCTATTTTGATTCTTCAAAACAAGTTGGATCAAAATTGTGTCCACCTTTCCTAAGCTCCTCATTAGATTGGGAGATCTTTGAGTCATTATGTCATATGTCATTATGTCATGTCCCCTCACCCTTATACATGCGGTGTGAATAGTCAATAACAACTAGTTAAACACGCAATTAGTGAATATTTTATTAGTGAATTAGTGAAATGTTATATTTTTCTAGCTACATAATCCATGTTTCTAACTACTTAAATCTATTACTTAAATGTGTAGTTTATTCCAGTTACCACATTTTTACTTTCTGGTATTCATAAAAGAATTGGCAATCTGATTAAAACCTAAACTTACTTTTGGAGACTGATTTATACAGATATCTACTGACAAATTAGGAGATAACCAAACTCCTAAGGAATAATAAATTCTATTCTGATTAGAAATTTACAATCTACACTTGGTTTCAAAAACTTAATTTTGATTTTGGGTCAATTAGAGTCACATTTCTTGCTTTAACTAGTATTCAAATTAGCTGGATCTAGACTTTTAGATCACCTCTAGTGAGTTAAGAAATTTGAATTTCTTAATTCCCTATGGGCATTAAGATTGCACAGATTTGGTCACTCAATTAGAAAGTTCCCCAGATATTGTAGTATAGTTATTGATGAATATGTGACATTTACCTTTATCAATACAATCTTATTGGCAAACACTGGATAAAATCTTTTTTGAATTTTCCTTCACAGAAGGTTGAGAATAAAGTTACATTTTTTTTTTTGCCCTTTGTTTAAAAAAAAAAAAACACACAAAAAATTGGAACATTTCAGGGTAGGAAATAAAATAGAATATGACCAGCTTTTTTCTCCCCTCTAAAAAAGGAAGCTTATGGTCCCTCCCTGGTGGCGCAGAGGGTTAAAGCACAGCACTGAGAAGCTAAAGCCACTTCCGCATGAGTTCGATTCCCGCCTGCTCCGGAGGAGACCACATGGCGTGGCAGACCTCTCCTGACCCGCCTGCTGCTCCCCTCAGCAGTGTACTTCATTGATCTGCCTGTTCTGCTCCCCACTCTGTCTCTGGTGAAGCCTCTCGCCGCCCCTGCACCTCTGGCCTGTACCCCAGTTCTGTATGCATAAATAAATAAATTAAAAAAAAAAAAAAAAAGAAAGCTTATATGGTATGAATTCAGATTTATTTAAACAACATGATTTAATCACTAATATATTAGATGAGAAAACCCCTTTTCATTTCTAAATTTTCCATATAGGTACTTGTCCTGAAATTTATTATTATTTTATTTTGGCATATGACCTTAAAAATTAAATACCAAAAGTGTCTGTCAAGTGGTGCAATTTTCCTGTAAATTGCAGTAAAATACAGCTCCAAGAATATAAAACAAATGTCAATTTTATGACAGCAAAGGAACATTTGACTTTCAAATAAATCATGCATTTGAATCCATGTTGTTGAGAAATACGAAACCTAGTTAAATGTTGGAAAACACTGTAAACAAGAATGAGGAAAATAAGAATGTAGTAATAAAAGGAGACAATATTATCACATGGTCAATTACAATAGATTCAATGTAGAATTTTCTTAAACAAATAGAATGTCGAGTAAAATAACAATTGCTATGAAGTTGCTGGAAATGAGGTGAGAAGCTAACATTTCAATGGAAAGAACAGGCATCTGTTTTTTTTCAGTGGACCATTGGTGTGTATGTACACATATACATATACATACATACATGTATGCTTATATTTAGAGACTCTTATGAACACATAATTTTTCCTTGACCTGGCTTTCTTGAAGTTTAGTCAATTATGACTAATGAAAAGCAGAAAGAACATTCGTACATTTTTAGAATTTCATTTATTCAACTTATAGTAAACCTACAAAAATTATTTTGACAATTTTTTCTGAAGTAATCTTATTTCTGGATCTACCTCAGGCTTCCACACTCACACACCCAAAATGAATTAAAAGAAGCAGTCAGTAAAGACAGAAGAACACAAAAAGTAATTAGAGAACCTTGTAAGTATTTTTGATTGAAATATGTATGTGTAAGGCATTTCACAGGAACATGTTTTTCCCTGAAGTCAATTTACTTATTATATTTACTTGAATATGCAACTTGCAAATACTGAAGACGTTTTTCCCTTAATGCTACATAACCAACAGATAGGAAGATATAAATAATATTAAAATCCATAGGAGACAGTTTATTTAACCCAAGAAAAATTACTAGGTTGTTGTAGGCTGGATGTGTTAGAAGAACACATCTAATAAACATTATATGAAATTAAAGGCAAAAGCCTAGTTATAATATTTGATTGGTATATAAACATATGCCTATATATATATA